TAAACCCTAGATGGCGACACCTATGTCGCGATAAAGTACTTTCTAACAAAGATTGTATTTTCGAACAAAGTACTTTCTAACAAAGTACTTTGTACTTTCTAACAAAGATTCGATTAGCCTTTGACTACGTTCTTTATAAAACTATTCTGAAGGTCAGATCAACAAGCCTTTCCAGCTTTGTTATGATCACGACTGAGATTTTGTTTATTTCCGTTATTTTTATAGGAAGGAATAAATTGTTTAAAAATAAATATAATCCTTAAAATTTTTAACTGCTGTATTATTGCTGTTTAAAGCTTAAAAGCACACTGTACCACAAAATAATCAACAACGAAATGTCACGATCAAACAAAAAGATAAAAAAACCTCTTAGGACAAGCTGTCTGCAGTAAACTGGATTGGATCGGATTGGATTATTTAATTATAGCAAAGAACACGAGGGCTATCTACCTAAAGGGAGGGATGCCTTTGTGGAGGACTTTCTAAGGGAAACTGTCTCGTATACACGTTACACATGGGAAAACCACGAAAACGGCCATGCAGCCAGCCCGTTCGCGGGATTCCTGCAGTAAACTGATGGCCGCTGGTGGGCCTGCAGTAAACTGATACAATGCATTTGGTTAAGTGCACCTGCTACTGCATACCTTAAGGGGAGAGAAGAAAAGAAGATTACAATCTTGGCCGTTTTCGGGCGGTTCTGGTTGTTTTAATGTAGGGCCGTGTCGGGCGGATTGGATGTGAAGGAGTTAAAGGTAAATTATCAAGTGGAATAGAGAAAACAATTACAGTTTAAGTATTTAAATGTATAAGGACCGCTCTTGGTCGCTTTCTGTTGTCTCTATCTTGGTAATTATAATCCAGCTGTGGGATAGAGCTGTTATTCACTTTATGAATATTCCTGAAAAATGTTCTTGCAATTTTTGCAAGGCAAACGTTGATTTTATCTACATTGAGTTCACGATGAATTGCATCGTTCCTCATGAACCAGGGGCAATTGGCCATCTGTCTCAAAGTCATGTTTTGCACTTATTGCAATTTTTTCATAGTTGTGTCTCAAAGGAAACCCTAGACCGGACAGGCATAAGTGATGATGGGACGCAAAATGGATTGGAATACAAGAACTTTATCTTGGATAGACAAATTCGAGTTTCGGGCAATTAGGGGGTTGAGTAAAGCTTTAACACCCAACTTGTTTAAAGTATATGTAACGTGTGAGGCCCATGTGAGTCTTTGGTCCAAAACGACACCAAGGTATTTAACTTGCTTGGCCCAGGGAATACTGATACCATACATTTTGAGGGTGATATTCAGAACCAGGTTGGCTTTGTAGGTAAAGTAAATAGCTTCTGATTTCTCTACATTCGTCTTAATTTTCTATTTTATCATCCAGAATCAGTGCATGGATGTGTTCTTGTAATGTTTGTACAACTGCTGCTATAGACGCGTTTTGGTGGAGGATCGCAGTATCGTCTGCGTAAAGTGCTAGTGTAGTGAGGGGTTGTGTGGGATGTCGTTCGTACAAATTGAAAATAAAGTGGGTGAGAGTAAGGTACCCTGTGGCAATCCAGCAAGGGTTGCTTTACGTGTAGAGTAGGTATTGTTATAACGAACGACAAAGTGTCTATCGTAAAGATAGGAATATGATGATGTTTATGATGTAATCTGGGAAACCCAGAGTTTGTAAGTGAGTCCCTGTAACCATACACAATCAAAAGCTTTCGAAATATCGAGAAAGAGAGCTCCAGTGATTAGTTTTTCTAAATCCATCAGCGATCAATTCCGTAAATCTGTATAGCTGGTGTGTGATGGAGTGTTTTCGCCTAAATCCCTACTGCTCTTGAATTAAGATGTTATTTTCCTGCAGAAAATCATGAATTTTTGTCAGGATAACAGCCTCTGCAATCTTGCTTAAAGTTGATAAGAGACTTGCACTGTTACCTGAGTGGAAATGATGGCCTACTTTGGATTGTCATATATCATAGGAATAAAGCAGGGCACCACGTAAATGCAAAAGAATTATTCTCACTGGAATTGAAATAATAAGAGCTGTGATGAACTACAAGATATTTTTATTTCTAACCAGTTGTCTTCGATTCGATGATAAATCAACAGGACAGGACAGATGAATATTAAAACTAGCTTGGATTTTAAAATGTAGTTATTAAATAATAAATTTTTAAATTTCTATAATAAAATACATCATTGCCTTTCCACCTGACTAATATAAGCGTTTAAAAATAATTTACTATCATTCAAATGTGACATCCTTTGTATTTTGCAACAATAAAGTTAATATTTTATATGTTTTAACAAATTTATTATCAATATTCAGTCATTTCTGTCATTTTTCGTGCCAGAAACGGTAAAATAACAGATGTCGTAGAAAGTTCTTATATGTTTGTAAACTCTGCATTTTTCTTTAAAAGTGAGTGAATTATGCTGTTCAAGTTGAAGTTTTTATGCCTTAGTTAATCTGTATGCAATAGTTGTAGAATTATGAACAATTTTAAAGAGCATGTAGCGATAGGCCTAACGTGGCATCTGCTTGCTTACATTTGAAAGTCTTATTAGCACAGTGAATTAAATCAGTTGATGCACCAACATCAGTATCTTTTTACTCAATGAGACTAAAAGTTAATTAAAAATTTTTTTGCTCCGAAAATTTTGTCTTTCTGCCTGTTGGACAAATTTGTTGTTTTAGCGCCGAAACTCTGACTTTAAATGCTAATCTTTTAAAACTGTTTTTAATTGTATTTGGTGTTCTCGGTTTTTCTGCATTTTATAATTTTTTATGAAGATGTTTTGAGTTTTTATGTATTTTTGCCTTGTCGAGAAGTAAGAACTCAGTAGATTGAATCAGAAACGTATACCTAATGAAACCCGAGGAAATAAACTTAACTAAAGTGTAGCAAAAAATTTGCATAATTTAATAGACCGTACAAAGGAATTCGTAGGGTGTCACTTAGATTTTTTTCTTTCAATTCTTTAGATCTTAGATATTTTTTCTTTCAGTACTTTAGATCTTGAGGTTATTCCACGTTGAATGTTTAAAGGATACCTTGAACAGAAACAAATTCAGCGGAGGCGTTTCGATTCTAGAATTGGGAAAAGAGCTAACGGTGAAGAAGACTTCAAAAAAGCTGATAAAAATCCCATTCAAAAAAAAAAAAAAAACAAAAAAAAAAAAAAAAAAAAAAAAAAAAAAAAAAAAAAAAAAAAAAAAGTCCAGATATTTTAGACAAAGACCAAGTTCCGTAGCGAAAGCGACAAATATAGTTTGTGTGTAGGCTGTGAAAAGTTCATAAACTAATGGTAACGATAGTGTTTTCTCATCATGTTCTAGAATAGTAAATGTTCTCCAATTTATGACAATTTTATGACCAGTATTCTAAAACCATGTTATTTATGAACCATGCGTGCTATCCTACCTAAATATAAAATAATAACTTCTATATTCACATATCAGTTTATATGAATTGTTAGTAAATAATATTAAATTTGACTAATTATTGTTGCAAACTGATTTCACTTATTAATATATACTACATCAGAAAATAAATTTTATTAATCGAAATAATATTTATTATCAGTTTGTTCATATAAAGTGCGAAAATAATAACACTAAAATTAAAGAGTCAGCCATGATCTACTACTGAGATTTTAAATAGTATGAAAATGCATGATTTCAGTGTTAATGATGATAAATGAGAAAAACTGATGTGGTCACCACATGACTTCCTTGTACGGCCTATTAAATTAGACACATATTTTGGCTGCTTTAATTTAAATTTATTTCCTCGAATGTTTATTAGAGATATATTTCTCATTCAATTAATTGAGTTCAGTTTTAGCGGCAAGTCAAAAATACATAAAAATTGAAACACGAAATACTGTTAAAACAGTTTAAATAACAATTCTTGCAATTAAAATTAGAGTTTCTATGCAAAAAATAGCAATTCGGCTAAAGGGCAGGAAGGCAGATTTTTCGATACACAAAACTGAAAGTTTACTTTTGGTCCCACAAGGCAAAAAGACACTGGCAGAAACTGGCTTTATTTACTATTTTACTAAAGAGTTTTAAATGCAAACTAATGGCGCTACGTTAGGCTTAGTAGCACTTAAACATCTTTTAAATTGGTGATAATTCTACAACTATTGCATTCAGATTAACTAAAGGCATACAAATCTTAACCGGAAGATAAGAATAACATAAATCAAATATTTTTAAAGAAAAAAATGTACAATTTACCAACATATAGGAATAAAAAAAAAATTAGCTCACCAAGACGAGTAACAGAGTGAGTATATATATGCTTTTGATGTTACCGATTGCAACCAAAAAGAGAGATGCACAACTGCATGTTATAGCAGTCCCATGTACAAAATTTCGACGTTCTGAGGCTACTCTTTTTCCAGTTTATGCGAGATACATACGTACGTACAGACGTCCCAAAAAATTCTCTTCTGAACCCGTTTTACAATCCGTTTTGGGAAAAAGAGTCCTTTATTATGTACATACGTACAGATGTCAGCCAAAAATATCGCTGAAATGAATTCAAAAGAGGTAAAAATGGACATTTTCGTTGGGAATACCTGAAAAATTTCGCGTTTTCAATACTTCTTTTACTTCGTACAAGGAAGTAAAAAGAAAGAAATGATGTATTAGACAAGTGAATTTTCCATCTGCAGATATTTATTGAACTAAATTTATAAGCGCGTTTTTAATCTGCCGAAATTAAAGGCTGTTTTTTTGGACGTAAGTGATACAGACCATTTCGCAATAGTAATTTTTAGCTAGAGGTTTAAGGAAATAATATTCCTATCTTTAGTACTGAACCGGCAACCTTCAAATGGGAAAATATACATGCTTTCTAAAACTGATTTTTATCGAGATGATAGGATCAATTTTCTCTCATATGTATATAAATGAAGCATTATTTTGCACAAGGTAAAAGAACAATAGAAGTAAATGTCTGTAATTCAAATAGGATTTAAATTATTAAATCTGCAATCATTCCTAAGACGCGCGATTCAAGTGTGCGTCTGTCATTACGCTTTATGAAATACCCCAAAGCTAAACATCCTATAAAACCCCAAGACAAAACTAAAAAGAAATAATTACTTTTAAACAAGATGGAGCTGCTATGGATGTTATTTACGCTTCTCATTGTTCTAGGACCTGTAACATTTATAGGTCTTCTTGCGGCAATTCACATTTGGTTCTGCTACTCTGAAAGAGCTAAAAGTTATGAAAATCTTCCAACATACGGTAGAACGAACCCTGTTTTGCTCGGATGGCAACATTATCAGCAAATAAGCAGAACAGGAAAAGATGGTCCACTGGCGGCATGTAAGTTAAGAATAATAATTTATTACAATCTTAAGTTTACTAAAATATTTTCATCACATATTTATTGATTTTTAATAACAAAGGTTGTGATGGAGTATGCAATTACCTCTTTATTAGTCCAAAGGGATTTGAATCCCGAAGGACTATTAGTTTCGTTTTGGCATTTTGCGTCGGACTCATAAATGTCGGTAGAGTCCTGCATTATATTTGAAGAAATTAAATAATGAAAAATCTGCATAAATGTATGTATATTTCTCGTATTGTGATAAAACAACGGTACATAGAGTCATCGAATTTTGAATAACGTAATCCTCTAACGAATATGAGCATGTGGAAGACCAAATTTGAAATTTGAAATTTGTTTTATGATCGATTTCCTATTTTTTAAAACTTTGACGAATTTTGATTAACAAACTAAAGGATTTCAAAGCCAGCAATGGCAACGTGTGCAGAAAGAAAAAACATTTTTATCTCCAGCGCGTGAGTCTCTGTATCAGAAATTCTAAAGATATGCTCGTTTTAAAACTATTTTGCGATATTGCTGTTGCACTGGATCTTATGGTTTAAGTGCGAGGAACATGATATTTAATAAAGAAAGGTAACACACAAAATGTTAAAAAACGCCCCTTTGGACGTAATTTAAAATCTGAAGCATTTCAGATTTTGTTTTTTTTTTAATTATTTTTTTAAATATCAGACATTAAATTTAAAATGAAAATAAATACAAATAATTAAAAATACATAAATGAAAATGCTTTTGTTAACTAACTTAGTAACCGACTAAATTTTTAACTCTTTTAAACTGAAATTTCAATTATTTTATAAATCAATATTAATAGTTTCATAAAATTAAAAATTCTGTAGCTTTTGTATTCGAACATACGGTAAATCAGCAGGAACAAGATATTATTAAAACAACAGCTAATTGCAGTGAAACTATCTAAAATGTAAATAACCGAGTAAAAGCTGTAAATTGCTTACAACGTCATTATCGAAAAACATTTTGGAATTTATTAATAAGTTTGATTTAGTGAACTTTTCAAAATTCAATAGCAGAATTTCGATATTGATCTTTTGCCGTATTTTACAAAACAACTATTTTAATCTTCTGCTCTCTCATCACATCTACACGTGTTTAAATTAGTTACTGAAATTAAATTTCATTTCTCCAAGACTGCAAACATGATTTGCAGGTATACATTTTTTTCCAAGATGTATTTTGTACTACTAAACTTGTTACAGTATGAGAAAACCTTCGACTTTCTGCTCTTGAGTATATTCTACAGGAAGCATAAATTTTGTTGATGTTGCCAAATTCATTTTTAATTTTAACAAACTTTGCGAAACTGAAATGATGTGACTTGGTTTTATTGTTTATTATTTTGTTTGCCAAATTTCATCAGCTTTTAAAACACAGATATAAGTTCTATATATAAAGTGCTTCAGGATTTGACAAAGTAAATAAGGACTTTGGTTATGATTTGGCCTTAGTATTACGAAAATGTGCGACTGCCTGCAATGCCTGCATTTTTCTCCGCGGATTATTTTCTATTTCGCGCTTATTTATTATTATATACTCCGTGCACGGATAAACAAAATATATCTGTACATATAATTCTATTTATCCGTGCATATATTATACGTGGTGGACCAAATATGATTTAAGTTATTAAATCTGAATTAAACACGGATAACTCTTGTAAAAATAATTTATTTTGATTAATTGTTTTATACATTAAATATATTTTATGAAAATTAAGTATTAAATATGACATCAGAAAATTTTGTCCACCATCACAAAATTTTGTCAGGAAAAAATGTCCACCATTTTTCTCGATACAGAGATTGGCTCTTTTTAATGCGTTTTCCATTACACCACATAATGTTTCTGGTTGAAGGCTCAGTATTTCGTCTCAAATATTCTGCTTCTGCTTTAATAGTCTCTGGTTTATTACCATACACTTTGTCTTTTAAATATTTCCATAAAAAAGGATTCTTCTCCAACATTGGCCGCACCAGAAATCATTTCCGGCGTTCCATCCTCATTCTCGAAGAAATATGAACCGATAACTCTATTGGCCATAACATCGCACCAAACAGTACACTTGAATTAAAATATTGCCGATATTTACGCTGCATCATAAAAATTGATCGTTAACAACAATAGAAAAACTGGATGATTTTAACATGTATTTTGTACTGTATGGGTCCATAATAATATTCCAAAAATTCAATTATAACCTACAAAAAGAAAAAAAAAATTATATCAAGAAACAAAAACGTTATTTATGTTTAACATTGGTAGGTCTTATTTGGCCCACCCTGTATAAAGAAACAAATCTCTGTTTTCATAATGTTCGAAAGGCCAGCAAACGTATTGGCAGTTTTTGTTACACATACAGTTACTCCCAAAAGTATTCGTACACTTTAAGAATTTGTAGAAAAGCGTTGCAGCCGGGAACTGAATTCGAATATAAACCAATATTTTTTTATATCATCTCCATGAGATTTTGAATAAAACTAAACTTTTGTTTTTAAACACTGGCGTAGTTTCGTTTCTAAAATTAAAAAAAAAAATTAAGAAGGCATAGATGAAACACGCCACAAAAATGATCGAACACCAAAACATTTTCGTAAAACTTCATAATTATCATCTGCTAGTTTTTTAATTTTTGCATTTGGATGACGTTTAACAATTTGCTTGACTTTATTCTATGCTTGCTTACTACATTATTTAATATTTAAAAGTGAGTCGTAGTCGTAAGGAAAGAACGAATATCATTCGAAAATTGATCAGTTATCATAAAGGAGGGAAATCGATCCGAAATATCACTAAATTAGTAAATTTAATCCATTCTATGGTGCAGTGCGTGATGAAACTCTTCAAAGAAGAAAATCGTATAGAAAATAAAGTAAGAAGAGGTCGTCTGGCAAAGTTAACTCAGTGTGATCAGAGATTTATAGTTACAAAATCTGTGGAAAAAAAAAAAAAAAAAAAAAAAAAAAAAAAAAAAACCACGCCTGAGTGTTGTAAAGATTTCTACAGAATTTACTGAAAAATTTTCTACTTCATCTGAAACTATTCGAGGAATACTCATATCAGCTAGATTATATAGTCTTTCTGCTCGAAGAAAATATTTTATAAGTGCAAAAAATAGAAAGTTTATTCTCTTCGAAAAATCGATGGTAAATAAGCCCGAAGCATATTGGAGCTATGCCTTATTTGCAGATGGGAGCAAATTTAACATTTTTGGGTTACGAGGGCATATAATTGTATGAAGAAGAAAAAATGAGGAACTTAATCGCAAGAGCTAAGTTGGAATCGTATAGTATTGCTTGGAGGAATCCTTGTGTGGGGGTGTACGTCAGCATTAGGATTAGTAATTTCATATTTATTGAATGTATAATGAACCAGATTCTTTATTTAAATATTTTTAAAGATAATTTAGAATTATCCGCCAGAAAAACAGCTTTATTTTTTATCAGGATAACGATCCTAAGCACATTGCCCTTAACTCTTGCCGTTGATGTGTCTATAATTGTCCACAAGTTCTAAAACCATCACCTCAGTTACTAGATTTTAACCCCATAGAATGCATTTGGAGAGAATTAGAGCTTAGAGTATGAAGACACAACATAAAATCGAAAACCGAATTAAAAAAAAAATGGTGATCTCTATGCCCAGACGTTTGAAAGCTGTTATAACTGCTGCAAGATATCCTACAAAATACTAACTAATGGGAATACTACTATATTTATCTATATATTCAGATTTCTTTAAAGTTATGAAGACTCTTGTGAGGTAACTTTTCTATTACTTTTTGATTATCGATTTTCCAAGATGTTCATAAAATAACTAATGTATTTTTGCTAAGAGAAATTTACAGATGCTACAAAAAAATTTCTCATTCTCAAATATTAATTTTTATTGACGAATAAAGCACTATTTCACTGAAACTCATAAAAATACGAATACTTTTAGGATACACTGGATAAGCAGATGAATTTTTAATAAAATTGTATCATATTAGTAGCATATTTTCATTGAAAATCTAAATTAATATTTTTAAAGAACTTATTAAACTTTTGCACATGCGCTGGAGTGCAATGTTTTGTTATTGTTATTATTACACACGGATAGGAACGTTAATTTATAAATTTTACATTTGCATTAAATACCTACCTTATTTTAATTATATATATATATATATATTTATAATATATAATTTATATAATATATAATTTATAATATATATATATATGTAAGATAAACAATGTATGAATCATAATTATAATATAACTATAAACATTAATTCTTCCTCTCTATTCTAAAATCGTAATAACTTATCTGCATTGCGTCATTCAAATTAATCATGCGATCTTACGTAACCGTTAATACCAGATGCCTCTTGACGACCAATCACCGAATTGTAAACCAAAACGTTTCTCTTCGCGTGCTTCCATCTTTCATAACGACGCACTTCAGCTTTTGCTCTCTACTGTGCTAAGATGTAATTTCGCTGGCTTGCTTTCTATCCCAACAATATCAAAAATGTAAATCTTCTGTGGAAAGGCACGACTAGAGTGCCAAGTGATTGTGGCCACAAATATCAATTGGAAATAAAAATGGAATTAAAACTGCCTCGACTGCCAAGTTCTTTACGGTCTAGAATATTTATTGTGGTATCTGTAAGAACATATATGTATGTGCATATTAAAATATGCCAACGAAATTAAGGCAATATATCAAAAGAAAACAAATCCAGGTATGAAATACCAGGAGAGATTTTGCATTATAATCAAAAAAATAATTTGTTCTCATAGCAGTTTTGGAAATTTGTGCTTTCTTAACAAAAACCCTGGCCGCCCAGAGGGTTAAATACTACGCAATCAAAATTCGTCTTCAATATGGATCTAACCACGCATCTACAGTGTTCTGCTCCGGCTTTTCCTTGTTTTGCTCTTATTATGACTTATATATATATATATAATTTACAATA